ATAAATTTTTTATTTTTAAATTTATTAAATGGAAATATTTTAATAGATTTCCACTTAATAAATTTATTTAAAAAATTTATTTTAATAAATTTTAATAAATTTTTAAATTTTAATAAATAGGGAGAAGAACCCACTTATAATCGGATAGTGCCGCTTCCAACGCTCGGCGGCGCTGGCCCTAGCGGTTGCGGCGCGCGCGGTAAGGAGAGGAAAGGAGGCGTATACCACGGAAATCGGCTGAAATGTTCAGACTAATTCCGAGCACTGATTTGGACTAATGAGAGCGCGTCGAGAAAAGCGCTCCAGCCGCTCGAGGTCTAGCCCGGTCTAGTCTATCATACATTGGCTGCTAATGGCGCGTTGGAGAGGCAAGAGGGGAAAGCACTTATTTTGTAGCTCGGCGCCCGGCTCATGTCTCGCCGCACCGGGCTATATACAGGGTGAGGCAAAAGTATGGAAACCCCCGAATAAGTTTTGAGGAAGGCATTTTACGAAAAAATGTTAAATACAAAAGTTTTAGGAAATTTCTCTGGTTTTTCAATGGTGACCTTGGATTTGACCTTGACCGTGACCTTGAAGGTCATATGAAGGTCAAGTCCATTTTTTTAAATAGGAACCCCCATTTTTCATCGTAGATTCAGAAAGAGCGGAAAATTTTACATCGGAATATGACCTTGACCGTGACATAAGGTTGAGAAAGAATGCCTCATTAGTGTACTGTCATATAATGACAAAGAGCACCAAAAGACAAAAAAATTTTTGAAAAAACGATTTGATGTAGCTCCATCAGTTCCAGAGATTCTGAGAAATCACTGTTTCGTCCCAATCAACAAAGAAATGGTGATTAAGAGATATTCTAATGCTGGTAATAGTTCGACTTTTTCATATCAAGATTTCAAAAAGTAGGGGGTAAGAGCTCAGGCGACATCAGAATCAGAGGTATCTCTAGTATCAAGTTTTATAAAAATCTGTCAATTTCCTAAATTTTAAATATTTTTGGTCTTCATATTAGATCTGACATTTTCAGTTTTCGAAATCCGATTTAAGATTTGTATTTAGCTGGCCGTAAAACTCTCTGTTCAAATTTTATAAAACTTCCTTACTTTTAAAAATTTTTCAAATTCTTAGTTGCCATATTAGATCCGCCATTTTGAATTTTCGAAATGCGACTTCAGATTCGTTATTAGCAACCCGAAAAAGTCCCTGATACCACGTATTATAAAAATTCGTTAATTTCTAAAAATTTTCAAAATGTTTTGGTGGCCATATTGGATCTGCCATTTTGTATTTTCGAAAGATAACTTTAGACTCGTATACAGTAACCCGAAAAACCCCTTGATACCAAGTTTTATAAAAATCAGTTAATTTCTTAAATTTTTAAATTTTTGGCGGCCATATTAGATCCGCCATTTTAGTTTAGATTCATGTAACAGTGCACAGATAAACAGAGTACTCGAAAGTGTTAATTGGAAGAGAAAAACGTCGAATGAATAATCGCTACACTTGAATAATTACCGTTTTTATTATTTTTTTTTGGTTTTCTGAAATTTTAAGTATGATCCAATTGAATTTGATAATTTTGCTACGCGCCATTGGAAAGCTTACATTTTCTGTAAATTTCTTTGTTTTTTTTTTTTTTTCTGTAAGTTTTAAGATTTTTTCAAAAATTTTTAGATCAAATAGAAAATGGGCAGCATGGGTGTAAAGTTGAGAAAGAATGCCCCATATATATAGTTATAAATAGTTATATAAAGTTATATATATAATATATTTATAACCATATATACAGAGTGTCCAAAAAGTCGCGGAACGGTCAAATATCTCGAAAAAAACATTTTCGAGAAAAATTTTTCATATGAAAATTGTTGGGTTTTAAGTGACGCATTAGGTAGCAATGTTAGTGTGACTTTGTATTGTTAAGGTCACGTAAAAATTATTTTGAAATTTTTTAATGGAAACCTCTATTTTTGATTGCATATTCTTGTAACTAATCTTGAGAGCTTTTTAAAACAATCTAAAGTTCTTTTTCATTAAGTATTTTCCGACTTATGAGACTTGAGAGGTACAGTATCGTCAGCATTAGTATTACCCGATGCACACCACGGAGAGGTTGCCTTTTCGGATTTTGCGCATCGCTTGCACGCATACCCCTACGTACCTTCTCCCTGTGTGTGCATCTCTTCCATTCGACTTTCGCGTGAGCCGCGTCCTCATTCCGGCATCTTTGCGGCTACAAAGAGCTCATAAAGCTAAGAGAAGTGTTTCAAAGTGTGTAGAAGGTCACTCCATACACTGTTTCGATTTTCTTTCAATAACTTAATTAATTGATTACGTTTATAAAAATGAGAAATATTTTTATTAAATGATTATTGTTATAGAAATGAGGACTCGGCCTCTGGTATAAGACTCGGCTTACTTTATACTATTTGATTTTTACAAGACTCGACTTTTGTTTCTAACTAATTCTTCAGACAGCTCGTTTTATATAATATCGTCTGAAACTGCGGAGAACCAATCCACGTCGTTGTTTACAATGAGCCAATTGGAATCGAGGTTTGGCTGTCGGTCGAATATTAAACGCTGTTATTGTTATGCCAGCATGCTTCGCTCGGCGAAACATCTTAGTGGGCCCACTATTGTTCTTTCGTCACAACAAAAAGCGAGTACAAGCCAACAGTGCAAATTGTAGTACTTTGTTTCTTCTTTTATGAAATACAATATTGTTGTTATTTAAGAAGCTGTTCGAAGCTACTCGTCTCCCGATCCCTGATTCCTACACTATTTTGATACATTTTTTGATACAATTAATTAAAAATGTATTTAAATGAGAGAGAAAAAATAACAGTTCTTATGATGCGAGGATACAGAAACAATATCAGGACTTACGAAACAGTGACTACTTTATTAAATACATTTCCTGATCGCCCGCCTATTTCAAGTCTACTGTTCAGCAAACTGTAATTCAACTGTAATTAAGCAAACTGTATTTCTGACTTAACAATCAGATTCAGTTAAAGATGCGCAAAATCCGACCAGGCAATCTCCTCGTGGTGCGCATCGTAATACTAATACTGTCGGTAATGTACCTCTCAAGTTTCAACAACTCAGAAAATACTTAATGGAAAGGAACTTTAGTATAGTGATAATATAAAAACAAAGGATTTAGTGCCTATCTTTATTATAGTATTTTGAAAAGCTCTCGTGGTTTCAGCTACAAGAATATATAATCAAGAATAGGGGTTTCCATTTAAACATTTCAATGTAATTTTTACGTGACCTTAACAACGCTGTCTAGGTCACACTAGTATTGTTATGTAATGCACCACTTAAAACCCAACATGAAAAATTTTTCTCGAAAATGCTTTATTTTCGAGATATTTGACCGTTCCGGGACATGTATATATGTATATGTATGTATAATTTACAAATTTATAAATTTTAAGATTGCTTTAGGCAATCTTAAAGTTACCTAAGTTGTTTTCAGACAAAGTTCAAAAATAAAGTTTTATTTCACATATTGCTTAAGACGCTCTTGACAATCTTAACTTTGCCTAGGCAATCTTAGGATTGCCGATCGTTCGGGCTTTGCTGGTAACCCATACACTGAGAAAAATGTTCTGTTTGATTCAATAAAACGTCCGTTCGATTTTGGACGAAATAGAGATTCTGGTTGAATCTACCATATACAGGGTGTCCCATTTATTGCTTACAAATAACTCAAATAACTTCGTTAGTTTTAAAAATATGGAAAAATGGTTGAGGAAGAAGTTGTACGATTCAAAAAGGGAGATACAATCAGTGTTGCCAATCTGGTGATTTTCCCGTTAAATTTGATAATTTTAATTTTGATTTAACGGTAAGAATTCCTAAATAACGGTTAGCGGGAAATCCGATAATTTTTTTGTTGTTGAAATATTTTTCTGGTAATTTTTATTTTGCAATTTTTTTGTTATAAAAAATCAAGTTAAGATACCTTTTTACGCCCGACAGCTTAAAGACGTCAGTAAGACGCCTTTTAGACACGGTATCTAAAAGACGTCTTAATGATGTCTTTAAGATGTCTTATGTCCCGATTTTAGACATGTGTGCTGTCTGGGCGCTGACGCTCAATTTCAGCGTTAGAAGACATCACGTGACTAAAAATAATGAATCATTGTAGTGGTGTTTGATCACATAATGTCTTCACAATTTTTCCAAAATGCGATCCAAAGAAGTTACGTTTGTTTATTTAAAAAAAAAAAGGATTTTTTCACTCTAACATTTTTTTCAATAGATATTTTCGCATCAAAATCGAATGAGGATATCTTTGGGAAGTGAAAATTTTACGTCCATGGATCCTAAGCTTCAAAATGTATGGATGAGTATTTTGAAATTTAAAATGGCGACGTCCAATATGGCGGTCCAAAGCCATAATTTTGACGCTTTTTTTAATTATTCCGAGCACAACAATTTCTTTTGATGAATTTCCAATAAAAAAGGGTTTACTGAGGTTTTTTGGGTTGCTGATTATAAATCTCTTATCAGATTTCCAGAATTCCAGATGGCGGATCCAACATGACGGATGAAACTTCTCAAAATTGTTTTAGTTTTATAAAAATTTGTATATAGGGGTTGTGGAGTACTATTCTTTAAGACATTAATAATGCGCTGTCTCATATTCTACGCTGTTGGCGTATCTTGGTACTTACACAATAGTACGTGATACCTTAAACAACATGTTTCAGAAAAATGTAAATATTCACATAAAATCAACCCCTTCAAAAGTTAATGACCTTGACATATGTTGTCAAGGACACATCACCGAGTAACAATTAAAAGGTTTTATCCGTCGCTCGTTGTTTGTTAAAAAATTATTCTTAAAAAATATGACTACACAAACGAATGTTAAAAATCAACATTTTTCTTATTTATTATTTGTAATATACAATATCACATATTTTTGTTATTAATATGACACATTATAATTATTATTTAGTATTTTCGTAGAAAGTTGCAAACCCATGTGGAACCTCGCTTCGCGTGGAAAGTGTATGCGTGGAAGCGATGTGTTCCGCTCCCCACCCACCCCCCTTGGGGATCCAACTACAAAAAAACTATACTTTGTCCAGCGAGAGAATATGCCTCTTTCTGCGCATAGGAGAAGCATTGCGGCCAAAGTGGTGAGAGCGTTGGTATTGACAAGCTGCACGAACAGTAGTGAAGTGAGGACGTTTTTCAAACGTCCCGTGAGGGGAGACCTGCGCAAAACGAACGAGTTACATATATACTCCGTCCAGCGATAGAAATACCTGGGTCGGACGAAAACTCGTCCGTTTCGCGCAAGTCTCCCCTCACGGGCTGCTTAAAAAGCCCCCCTCACCTCACGTGACTGTACTATAGGTTTGGATTGAATCTCGTTTCACGTGTAAAGTGTACGATAATGTATACAATAAATTTTTTGTTAATAATTTTTTAATGAACAATGAGCGACGACTAAAATCTTTTGATTGTTACTCGGGGATATGTCCTTGACAACATATGTCAAGGTCATTGACTTTTAAAGAAATTGACCTTATGTGAATATTTACCAATGTATTGGCAAGGACTTAATAATTAACTGGTCAGCACGCTCTCCGGATCTAACACCGCTTGATTTTTTTTATAAGGAACTATAAAAGATATGCAATTGTCGCGATAATAATTGAAATATTAATTAAAAAGAATTGAATGATAGCGCATTGCGTGTGGCTAAATCGTGGGCGTTACGCTACGAGATCGCGCGTAATGCCTCCAATTTTTGTTTTCAGAAAATTTTATTTTTACAACTATGGTTTTTACATGATGTAATCTTCAGTCATCAACAAACATTCAGTTATATTTTCTCAAAGTCAGCATCATTTTATATGCTATTTTGCCATCTTTGTATCAGACGCTGTATTCAAACCCATTAAATTCCTTACTGTGACTCTTGAGAGCTTCACAAATACTTTTCTTAATAGTGACTTTATGGAAAAATAACTGAACGTTTGTTAATGATTAAAGATTACATCATGGAAAAACCATTGTTATAGGAATTAAATTTTCTAAGAAAAAAAATTGGAGGCATTACTTTCGACCCTCGTATATAAGAGTATGTAAAATGCTCTATAGTTTATAGTTTAGTCATACGATTTTTGAGTCATTAAAAATGGCCGCTATCTTCTCCATTAAATTTTATTTTTATTTTCTCAGACCTAGTGATCTAGGTATATAGATAGAAATCTGTTAAGTAAACATACTGATTATACTGTGACATAACTGTCATCATGTTTATCTAAAAACAATTTTCATGTTGTTCGATCACTGCAGTGCTTGGAATTGATTGCACATTTCAAACGGTTTTTGTCAACACGTATTTTCTTTTCTAACTATGCGCGCTACAACAGCTAGGGCTGGTGCTTCCTAGCAGCTGCAACGTGCGCGATAAGGAGGAAAAGTAAATGTTGACATACGAAATTATTCGAAATGTGCAATTAATTTCGAGTACTGAGTTGCTCAGTTAACTGAAACTACGATTTCTATAAATGTAGATAGTTTAAGTAAAAGTTTTCTTAGTATTGTTTTTGTACTAATAGAAATTTTGTTTCAATGTAAAATAGCTTTGAATTTAAAAGAAAAGAGTTACAGTAAGAAAATTTGTAAAATTATATCCTTTTTTTTCAACAGTCCAATACGCGGTATCGTACGGAAGATCTATTTTTGCTTCTCCTTCGGTTTTCTGTTGGCAAGGACAACAGCGGTATCCTTGTACGCAGCTTCTGTTCACGATGAATCTCTTTTGCCAGCACCGGTTTTGTATAGTGTTTCTGGTTCTAGTTACAGCAATGAGGTTTGTCATGTAATATTACCATAGTTTGAATTGTTAACTTATAATTGATACATGGTCACCACAGTCTAGTCAGAGGCTGCTAAGCAAAAACCTGAACTGTTTTAATATACAAGGTGTCCCAGACCTACTCTATCACCTGTTAATGGCAGATTTTTGATTGTAAGATTATTTGGAGATGAGAATCTTAATAACAAGATGTCAAAGCTGCAATAGTTTTTCAATTGAAAGTGTTTAAAGTGAACCAATCAAATTGTATGTTTAGACATGTTGTATTATACGTTAAAAGTGCCCAAATTTGTTTATGATATGTGAAAGTTTTGACAAAGGATACGCATCGTGTTCTAATATCAATATTCCAAAATATTTTTAAGCTATTATATTATTACCACAATATTTGTCGGAATTATTATCTGCGTATAAAGAAAATAAATATATAAAATTATTTAAATAATAGTACATAAATTATATCCCAGATAGCACAGAGATGAATAGAAGTTTATAGAGAATTCATTTTAAAGAATACATACAGAATTAGAAAAATAAATATCTAAAGAATTCCAAAAGAATTAACTACAATCAGTTCGTTTCGAAGTATTCCCCAAAAATTCATTATAATGAATACTTTGCGACTCAATATTTTGAATACTTCAAGAATTCATGAAAAATTAAAAGTATTTTATTTGTTTTGATTCCGACCAGAGCTGCTAAATTCGTTTACTGCGGCCTCCGCACACACAAGCGAGAATCGTATACGTGATACACAAAACGCTCTGCGCATCTTCCGACCCATCTCGTGTAGTGTCACGCTGTGTACTACCAGCATTAAGTGCAATATTTTTTTCTGCATAAACAAACGATATATGTAATACATATACCCAGGTAGAAATCTGGTCTAGGAGAAAGCCTGGTCTTGGATATTTTTCCCCGTAGTATAGCTTGGATCTGTCCGGGAAATCTAACTTGGACCCATATGTAATGGGAGACGGCGGGCATGGACGGATCCATTATCTAAAATGTACCCAGGTCCAGGCTTGTTTCCACGGTTTTTCCTAGAAATTATACTGGAATCCCGCCTAGTGCCCTTATTTTACTCGGGTTTTCTCCTGGATTGTTCGATATTGTATTTTGCGGATGACGTTCCTATAAACGTTTTTGTAGATTTGGGTAAAAGTGGCATTAATCTAGGTCGTAAAATATTCATCTGCTTGATTGTATGGAATTTGGTTGGTTACAATCCACTGACGTAATTTTTCCATTTCATCAGCCATTTCGTCCTCATTATTGTGACCTTCATTGTATTCATCGATTCTGATTCTGACATATCATCTTCGAGCTCTGAATTGTTATTTTCCATAAATATTTCCAGGCCATCAGTTTCCTCTTTGTCGCGTACATGATAGACATTCTCATTTGCAGCACTATCAGTAGCTTCATTACTGTTAGATCGCGAATACTTGTTTTTTATCAAGTCACTTTCGTCACACGTGTCACTTTCAGTTTCAATGTTCGCTATTTTTGTTTCTAATTTTGTCCTCAACAGTAGACGAGAAGCCACGAATATGCGATCACACACATATGTTTCAAACCGTTTTTTCTTTTAGTTCGAACCGTAACTCTTTGATATGCTCTAAGGTGTTACTATTTTGAGCCGTAAAATATTTAACAAACGTTAACATAATCTGAAAGTTCAGAATAAAAATACTGGTTTTTTTCTGATCGGACCCGGGCAGATCCAGGAAAAAATACAGATAGATATTTTTTAACCAAAACCTGGGAAAAATTGTGGAAAATTTATAGCGAAACAATATATCGGTATTTAATAAAAGGCAAAAAAGCGATCAATTATAAAAATCTACGAACAATTTATTGATTGGTAAGTACGGTTGAATTGGATTTATTTATTATATATTTCTAATAATTGTTATTATTCTATCTGTAACGATGCAGCATGCATCGTCACGGCTACGGACCGAACATCGTCCGTAGCCAAAAAGGGCGCATCGAGCGCCGATAAAGAATCTTATAAACACCGACGGTCAATCGCCGGACGGTCCCCCACACCCGACCGTTCCGAAACTTACCAGGTGGGGGTCCGCCGGCTAAACCGCCGATGCTTGCCGATCCTTCGCTAGTCGGGTATAAAAGAGGCCCGGCTGTATGCCTTCTTACCAGATCCTGTTCACTGCTCGCCAGTGAACATTCTGTTGCGAGAGCACTCGTAATCCTTCGAGAATACTCGAAGTCTATAACCAGTAGCCCCACGAGCACGAGCATACTCGTGCACCGACCGAGCATACTCGGCTCCAGGAACCGCTTCCACACGTTACGGGAACATTCGTATTCCCGCCGAGCATACTCGGCTCTAGATCTCGATACAAGCATACTCGTATTCCTGCCGAGCATACTCGGCCACCAGGAACCGTCCTTCGTTCCTCCGTGCGAGCATACTCGCACATCACCGAGAGTACTCGGCCTCGATCCTCGCATACGAGCGTACTCGTATATTACCGAGCATACTCGGTTTCGTCTCCTAAATACAAGCATACTCGGTTTCGTCTCCTAAATACGAGCATACTCGTATATTACCGAGCGCACTCGGCTTCACTTCTTATATACGGGCATACCCGTATACCGCCGGGAATACTCGGCTCCACATCCGATCACCGGTCATTGCAGGGCGCGGGCAATACGCACGTCCTCGCTCCCGTCTTCATCCATTCAAATCGGGTCCTTATATCCGGCAGACAATCGCGAACAATCGAATCGAGCGATCATCAAGTCACCGCGCACGCGCCCGAGCTATCAATCAGTCGATCGATAATCGACACCGCTCGCACGTATCGATCCACGCGCTCGCAGTCATCTAGAGACAACTGCGGCACCCGCGCTTGCGCTGACGCTTTCGCGTCACTGTACGACCGCCGTTACGGACCGTTCGCACCACCGCTATAATTTATAATACGCGTTCGAGCAACATACTAAAACGTTCCGTATCCACACGGCTGTACATATTAAATCTCAACTTTATGGTAATAAACGTTATCTTATTTTATTATTATCAAACAGGGCAATTCTTTTCACGTGCCCCCAACCGACCGAACTCCTGATTCCGGCGAGTTATTCCGCGCATACAAACGTACCGTTTCATATCCACTAAACATATCGATTAACAATGACATTACATCAATATTATAATTCGCCATTCAACAATGCAATTGTTATATACAACATGTTATAGTGCACTTACATTGTTGAGTGATGTTGAGTGAAATTATAATATTGGTGCAATGTTACTGTTAGTTGTTTACTAAGTATTTTGTAGAATAGATAAAGTAATCCTTTATCTATTCTAAAACTATTCCTCTTGAATTCATAAAGTATACATATCTGTTGGTATATAAAAATACTATATGAATAGTCCAAGAAATTTTCAAGAATTCCAATTATGGTGCATGTAACTTCCTGAATCATTCTTAGAGTATTCTTCTATGAATTCCTAAAGAATTACAATTCAGGAAAGAAGAAAACTTGAAAAATATTTTGCGAATTTACTGTGTTATTTCCCTGGTAGAAATTCACTCTGGGCCTTATTATGGCCCCGACTAGCTTGTCAGTCACCAACTCGGGCGTGATACTGGCGAATTAGTCGGGGCCACACACGAAATCGTCATAAATGGCTGTGCCAGCGCCACAAATTCACCGCAATACTGGGGCGACTGGGGCTGTGGATTGGCACTATCTATCTATCTATCCCTTCTAATTTTTTTAGATAGGTTATGATTTGGTAAACAAGTAAGGCCCAAACTTTTTTTTTTCTGGCAGCAAAGACTGGCAAACGCTACAGATTAAACATAGCGCCAGACTAAATATCATTCTGGACCATACTATAGCCCTTCTAAATTTTTTTAGATAGATTACGTCTTGGCAAACAAGTGAGGCCCATACTTCTGTCTTGGCGTTAACCTGGCAATTTCTACCAGGGTTGGATATCAATATTAATAATTAAAATAATATCTGAGAATACTTTCGATGTTTTTAAAAGTGTGAATTTTTGGCAGTCTAATTGGTCAATTTTAAATAATTTTTATTAATAAATTTGTTTTATTGCATGTTGTTTTTCGATTTTTGATTTACCTATATTTAATAATTCATTAAATACTGGTGTATCCATTCTCAGATATTCAACAAATTTATCTGGATCAGACTCTTTCATTTCTTTAATGAGATTGTT